GAGTTAACGATAAAAACGATAACAAAATAACGCTGAAAACCGATAAAAACCCTGAAAACTATACATTTCACACCCGAGCCTCAACTCTCGCGGCCCGGTACCAAACGACTCACGGACCGGTACCAGTCAGAGGCTCGGGGACCACTGATTTAGGGTGATACAAGTAAGAACTAACCCAACTAACATCAACTGTACCAACCTGATTCAAACCAGTTTTTAATATCTATAATCAAACAAAATGAAATATATACAGGACATATATGAGTATGATGGGCCGTCTGGACCAAAAATGCCAGGGCTGTTTTTTTTTGGGGGTTGCCATGTTGGAGTTGGGCAGCAATCAGCAGTTAAATTAAAATGCCGTTTGTGGATCTAGATGGAAAAAAGTTCTTCAAAATTAGTTTGAAAATTTAATGAAAGATGTAAGCAGGTAGATGAGGAAACTGGCTTTACTAGTACTATAATTTTTGGAATATAGTTACATTTTTTCTTCCATATAGTTAGGTTAGTACTGTCAAACAGAACCTGCCTTTACAAGTGTTGAAATCCATGAGGCTCAGTTTACATTACTGAACTGTGCAAACAAAAGAAACCCGTCTCCTTCTAACTGGTAAAAACAGTTTTCTATAATAGCTACAAACTGCTATTTTTGTCACGCAGTTTCAAGACTTCCTGTTAATCAAAGCATGATATGATTCTCCACCACACACGCCATTTATTTCCTGTTTACCACCAATTAGAGGAAGCAACATACAAAGTGGAAGGAGCTGTTTAAGAAAAAAAATGGACAGATAGAAAAGTGGAGCAGGAAGATTTTAGGTCACTTAAAACTGAAATTAATGAAAGCTCACTGCAGACCAACAGACTGAGGAGGGGAAAGACATCAGGAAACAAACTGCAGTTAAATAATTCAGACTTCAAGATCTTAAACAAACATCCAAAACCACATAATGAAGTTTCTGCTGCTACTCATCCTCTCAATAACGACACAAACATTCATTTGCTAACACATTAACACTCAGAGTGTATCTGAATGTATAATATCATAGATAATAAACCTATAAACTCGTTTCTACATATTTTGATGTGTTTTAATCTTTTTTTTAAGATAATTTAACACTATAGGAATGCAAACTATATGTCAACGGTTTGACAGTGAACCTAAAGGAAATCCAGCTGCAAATAAAAAAAGAAGAGTCACAAACTGAACAATAATTCAAAAAGACAATATTTTCATTTGCTTAAACAAATTTGTTCTCACATATAGACAGTTCTGATAATCATACACACAAAATTAATGATGACTTAAAAAATTATTTTGGGCAATTTAAAATGTAAACATCAAAACATTGTTTAACATTCATCACATATGAGCATTACATTATGCATTTTCATTTCTAATTTTTAAAGTAGTAGGAGTAAAATTTCTGACTTTGGATACTGTTGAAAATACACCCTGTAAGTGCAGCTTAAGGCTACATAAAAAGGAAAGAATCCTTAACCTTAAAAACCTTAAAGAAGTTGAATTTAAACATTTACATGTGGTGCAGGGACAATTCCTAATATGTGTGAATTTATATTTGCACCACATTGATATTTGTAACATGCTGATTTTATTTATTTTTTTATCTTTTGTTTTTTATATATATATAAAATCAGTATGTAAAACATATAACTGGTGCAAATGTATTATTTCTGCGGGATAAGAAATGCTAAATATTACCTTTCATGATTTTTCATCACTCTCTACTGTCTAGTAAAAATCTAGTAATTTCTGCTATATAGATGTCTATCTTTTGTTTTATTTTTTTATTTGAAAAAAGGGTCAACAGTAAAAGAAAAAAACATTTCTACATTAATAAAACCTTTTTGTTTTACAATGATAGGATTTACATTTTCTGTAATCTATTAT